CACCATGGTCTGGAGACCCCTGGTATGGCCTGGGGACCCTCACCATGGCCTGGTGACACCACCATGGCCTGGGAACCCCATCACAGCCTGGGGACTTCTACCATTGCCTGGGGACCTCCCCCATGGCCCGGGGACCCTGGGATGGCCTTGAGAACCTGTCACAGCCTGAGGACCCCTACCATGGTCTGGGGACCTCTGCTATCACCTGAGGACCCCCAACCACAGCCTGGGGAGTTCTGTCATTGCCTGGGGACTCTGCCCTGGTCTAGGGACCATGCCACAACCTGAGGACCCTGCCATGGTATGGGGACCTCCATCATGGTGTGGAGAACCCCCGGCACCATGAACCTCATGGTCTGGAGGACACAAGGCCTTCAGGGACACCCTGGCATGGGTTACAGCCAGCAGCGCTCACCCTGTGCAGGGGATGGGCAGAGCCGGACGCGGGCACAGGCAGGGCTGGACAGGCAGGAGATGCCCTGGGGAGTTTTGGGGGTGCTGGCAATTTCCTGCCGGGTGAGTCATGGCTTCACCATCCCCACGCCAAGGAGCCACAGGGCCAGCACTTTCGGGAAGTGAAAGAGGCACCAGGAAAGCACCCTGAGAGCCCGCAGCCACGCAAGCCTGACCACGCACATCCCTGGCCCGGCCAGCATGGCGCAACCGCCAGCACCGCGGATTGATGGGGTCTGCTGCAGGGTGGGAAAGAGGGGTGTCCCCCAAAGGCACGGCATCCCCAAAGACCATGTTCCCAGGGCAGCGCGGGTGGGCACAAGGAACCAAGGTGACGGCAGAGTCCTGCATCCTCTGATATTGGGGTGGTGGGGACAGCAGGGGCTCTCCAGTTCCCGCAGGCCTGGGCAGCGTAGGAGGAAGCTGTGGGGAAATGACGGAGTGACAGCACTTGCGCCACTGGCCCCTTCCGGGGCAGCTGTGGTGTCTGGCCCTGACAAGGGTGGGCGTCATCACAGCCCCAGCAGTTTGGGGCTGGGGTCTCCCAGCTGCCGGGGGCCGGCACACAAGCACCAGCCCCACACATTGACCCCAAACATGGGCCCAGCTCTGCCCCACACAGCAACCCTGAAGCATCCCCTTGCTCTCTGCCTCACACATCGCCCCTCGCTCTGCCCCGTGGCGGCGCTGCACGGGGGCAGCCAGACCCCAGCCCTCCCGGTTTCACTGGAGAAATTGGGCAAACACGGGCGTTGCGAAAGGTGGAAATCCCGCCCTGACGGCGCTTCCTTCCAGCAGCTCTTGAAAACGCTGCGTGTGCCGACAGCAGGCTCAGAGAGCACCCAAGGATTGACGCTACCAGCCGGACAGGCAGGACCGGCAGGACAGGCAGGAGCAGGCAGCCCAGCGCCACAGCACAGGCACCAGCAGGTCTCTGCCCAGGTTTTCGCAGCCAGCAGAACGATGGCGTTCGTCCCTGATTTGGACACTCTGGAGAGCAGCAGGTAAGTGTGGCTATGCCACAGGGACGATGCTGCCCTGGTGCCATGGTGGCCCTGGCTTCACCATCTCTCTTTGCCTTTTAGCCTGAACGAGGAGACGTTTTATGACCCCGACTGCCTCCTCCTGCAGAAGGTAACACTGGGGCAGTGGGAACAGCAAGACCCCTGTGGTGGGGAAGCCAGGCTCTCACCCCACATCCCCTTCCCTCCCCAGAAACCCCACCTGGACGTGGAGATGACATCGCCCGAGGTGGGCATCCAGGTGATGGTGACCAAGGGACACCCCGCCAGGACCTTTCGCCGCGCTGCTGTCCTGGTGGCAGCCGTGACCAAGTTCCTGAAGCAGCCGGCATGCAAGGACTTTGCTGACAGCGACCTCGGGAGCTTCCTGGACGATATTTTTGGTATGGAGGGATGGTGTCTGGGTGCCACCCCACCCGGGGGATGCTCTTGGGGGCTGCTCTTGCACCCGGCTGCATCAGCATTCCCCTGACCGCCTCCCTCCCTGCAGAGCCCGTCTCCTTCCAGCGGATTGAGGACAGCTATGCCGGGGCTCCCGTCTACCGCTACACCCGCTCACAGTCCTTCGACATCCTCGACATCGACCAGAAGTGCTTCGTGCTGGAGTCGCCCACCCAGCTGGTGGCCCTGCACCTGCAGGGACCCTCTGCTGGGCGGAAAGGTGAGGGGACACAGTCCAGACCCAACATCCCTGTCCCCAACCCCGGGACCACCTGGGAGCCACCCTACAGCCCCGGGACCACCCATTAACCCACGCCTTCTCTCTGCAGTGAAGCTCAACATCGCTCTGTATCGTCCCCGGTTATCGCAGGGCGGCCTGGGGACCGGGCAGGTGCCGGTGGCACTGGGCATCAAGGGTTACCAGCTCTACATGTCATGCGTGATGAGCGGCGCCAAGCCCGTGCTGCAGCTGGAGGTGAGCTGAGGGGTCTCGCCAGCTCCGTCCCCCGTGGCGCTGGGGGCTCCAACCCACCCTGAGCCCTGTTTCGGTTTCCTCCCTGCTCGTAGGAAGCTGACATCAGGAGGGACATCGAGAGCGTGGAGCTGACTCGCTTCATCTTCTACCGCCTGGACAGCCCGGCTGAGGGCACCACCCGCTTCGAGTCGGCTGCCTTCCCCGGCTGGTTCATCTGCACCTCCCTGCAGCCCCGCCAGCCCGTGGGCATCACCAACCAACCCGACCAGGTCAACATCGCCACCTACGAGCTGAGCGGGCGCTGAGGAGCCCCTGCGCCTTGCCCAGCCCAACCCAACCGGCAGTCACCGGTTTTCAGGCCGTATGTACCGAGTACAAACCCCCCCAGCCGAGACCCCCATCCTCCCCATCTATTTCAGGTGAAATAGCAGCTCTGGGCCCCGTGGGCCCGAGTCATCCCAATTGGTACTTATTTATTGTCTCCGTGCAATGCTTTTATACTTATTTATTGTGTCCGTCCCTCGCTTTTAACTTATGCGCATTTTTGTTGGAAATATTGTGGTTTTGTTATTGGGAATGGGAGTTTTTGTTGGTGATGGAAGTGGAAATAAAAGGTTTCCCAGGATGGTGTGGCTCAGCTCGTTGCTTTCACAGGGCTTCAATGATGCAAGGGTGGTTTATGAATGTGAGAATCCTGGTGTTTCAGCTGCCCTGAGAGGCTCTCCAGGCCTGGGCACAAAGTCTAGGGGATGAGGGATGACATAGCCCAGGAACCACCCCACACCCAAGGAACTGCCTCAGACCTGGGGACTGCCCCATACCCGGGGACTGCCCCATCCCCATGCTCACTCTGCAGCTGGGGAGGTGGCTGGGGTGGGTGTCCCATGGGTGGGGGTCACCCGTAGGCCCTGGCAGCCACCCGGGACCACCACCTCTGCGCCAGCCACTGCCACAACAGCTCCCTGAGGCACGGCATGGTGGGCCATAGGGTGGCGTGACATTGCGTGGTGTGGCTGATGTGGGCTGGCATGGGATGGTATGGCATGACATGACCTGGTGTGTCATGACATGGCATATCATGAAGTTCAACAAGGCCCAGGGCAGGGTCCTGCACCTGGACAGGGGCAATCCCCAGCACAAACCCAGGCTGGGGGAGAATGGATGAGAGCAGTTGAGGAGAAGGACTGGGGGCGTTGGGTGATGAGAAACTCAACATGAGCCAA